TAAAAAAATAAACTGGAAAAAAAATATTTTAAAAAAATATTTTAAGAAATATATTTAAAAAAATAATACTTAAAAAATATTTTAGAAAACGAAAAATTAAAAATAATAAACAAATAAAAAAATTGAAAAAATTAAAAATAATATAAAATAAATAACTATTTTTAAGTAGATATTTAAAACAAACATTGTTTTGAAAGAAAATCGGTAAAAAGAAAATAAATAAAAAATAAAAAGAAAACAAAAAGAATCTGAACGTTTGCATATTTTCAGATTTTTTAATTGATTTTTATATTAATCCATGAATGTAAAGGGTAAATTGGATATTATGGTAACTGAGGGGGTTATCCCTAATAGTGAATTAAAAAATGGATTTATGCCTCTATGGAAATTGTATGAGGGGGTTATCTCATTCTCATATAACCCCAAAATATAAATTTCAGACGATGCTATTGTTATATCAGACGATGCTATTTTTTTATTTTTTTTATTTTTTTTGTATTATAGTAATAAAAATATAAATTTCATAATATATTAAATAACATACTAATTAAATTCAAAATTTTAAACATCCAAATACATAAATATACATATTTGCAAGGAAATAAAATAAATCCAAATTAGTATGATACATATTTGAATTATTAATTAATATATATTATTAACATATATATTAATAATATATAAATTTTATATATTTCATTTGATAAAATAAAAAATAATATATATATATATATATATATATATATATATATATATATATATATATATATATATATATATATATATATATATATATATATATATATAAACGGTATAATAGAAATTATATACAAAAAATATTGTATATTTATTAAATAGTACAATTACAAAAATAAAACATTTTTATATAATTATTTTTAATTGAATGGATATTCGAATATTCCAAAATATTGAAAAAAAAAATGTATTCCTTTATTTTAATATTTGAGTATTAAAAAAATATTTTTTTTCTGAAAATTATTTGAATATTCGTAAAAAAATTGAGTATCATGATTTTTTTTCAATAAATATATTTTGAAATACTGAAAATATAAATAAGATATTTTTATTTCGAATTTATAAAATATTAAATTTGGAAATAATATATATACATGTGGTAATTGTTTAAATGAGTGTACAAATGTTAAATAGGAAAGAACTTAAATACATACCAAAATAAAATTGACAACTCACCAATTGAAGAATCCACCTCATCAATTGAACTCCAACTAAGCAATTTTGATAAATGACATAGACATTTGCCACATGTCATTCATATAGGGCATAGATCCTCTTTTTATATTATATATAGATATGGGTTTTATCATTTCCGACATTGTCGTCTCCATTAGGATAGATTATTAGTCTCCTGTACAAGTTTCTTAGGTTAGATTTTCACATTAATTAATGGAATTAAATTTAATTTCATAATTAATTAATGACTAAACATACCACTTGTAATTTCCAGCAACAAATTCCTTAGTCTCGTATTTGTGAATCCCACGACTTTCGAGCAAGGAGAACGATTTAATCTTGAATAAAAAATGTGCAGGTGGTACTTCTCTTGTTTCCATGGCCGTTAATTCTGAAAGCAACAATAGAATCAAATAATTCGAGCTCGTACCGTACGTATATCCATTTAATATAATATTAGGACAAATAAAATGAAAATACCATGTAGTAATGGTTCTGCTGGTATGAAAGATATCTTGGTTCTTTTCAACTAATAATTGTTTGTGCCCTAGTTTATTCAATAAGCTTTTATTATTCAAGAAATCATCTTAAAATAACAAATGAATATTCCTTATTTTCGGATTAATTTACAGAGGAAAGTAATTAAATAACTAAGGAAATAAAATTCCATGCATGCAAAACTAATAACTATGGAAATCTTCGTGTTATACCATTTGATTCATTGAATGAAATATAGTTTATGTATCTGTTATAGTTTTATGTTTATTTGACCAGGTAAAAAATTTAAAAAAACTTAAATCATATCTACATAGTGAAAATTGGGATAATTACACTTTTCGTCCCTATACTTAGCACCTAAAATGATTTTCGTTCTCAAATTTTCGTCACCGCGAATTTAGTCCTCAAACTTGTCATTTTTTGTCACTTTTGGTTCGGCCGTCAACTCACCCAGTTAACTTGGACGGAATTGTCATGTGCGTCGCACGTGAGGTCCATGTGGCAGTCCAAATCAAGTTGGAAGATGAGTTGTACGACATCTCATTGTCTCTCTCTATCTCTCTGCTATCTCCCTTACAAATCCTTAAACCATTTCCTACACAAAACCCCAATTTCTTATCTTCAAATTCCCAAAACCTGATCCCAGATTCTAGTAGCTAATCACTGCACATGTATTAGATTAAATTTTCTAGTTTTTCGTACAATTTCAATTTTTTTATGTTCAAGAAAAAATGCATACCTGTCCACAACTATAAATCAACAATTTATTTAAGGTTTGAGTAAATAAATATTGGTTGTCCTCCCGATACTCGAAAAATCAAACGAATTCTTCGAAGATGAGGAATTTGGGGGTTCTGGGAATTTGAAGATGAGGAATTGGGTAGGGTTTGGGGAATTTGGAAATGGGAAATTGGGGGTTTGTGTGGAAAAGGAATTGTGAATTTGTTGTAGGGAGATATGAGAGAAATGGAGAGATACGATGAGGTGTTGTCCAACTCATCTTCCAACTTGATTTGTACTGCCACATGGATTTCACGTGCCCCACACATGACATTTCCGTCAAAGTTAACTGGGTAAATTGACGGCCGAGCCGAAAGTGTCAAAAAATGACAAATTTGAGGACTAAATTCGTGAAGGGAAAAGTTTGAGGACTAAAATCGTTTTAGGTGACAAGTATAGGGACGGAAAGTGTAATTATTCCGTGAAAATTTGATAGGTTAGAGAGGGGAAAATTACATTTTTCGTCCTCATGTTTTACTCACTTTTTCAAAACTGTCCCTAAACATTTTGGAGTTACAATAGTAGTTCTTAATCATGCCATTTTTGACAGAATTGGTCCGTCATTTATTTTTGCAGTTAAGTTGGATGGAAAATGGCATGTGCCTCTCACATGCCTTCAATATACAACACTACATGAAAATGGACTTTTAACAAAACGCATTGCGTCTTGTTAAAACAGATTTTTCATAATTAAAACTTAATTGAAATTCGAAATTATATAAATTCTACAAAACCAAAATTGATATATATTGTTTTAAAATATTTTGAGAAATATTCTTTAAACAATTGAAACATTGTTTTAAAAAAAATGAAATATTGCTTTCAAAATCAAGATTTTTAGAAGGGTAAATAGCACTTAACCCCCTTGTGGTTTGGACATTTTGCACATGACCCCCTTATGGTATGAATTTAGGCACATAACCCCTTGTGGTTTTGACATTTTGCACATGACCCCCTTATGGTATGAAATTAGGCACATAACCCCCTTGTGGTTTTGAAATTTTGCACATGACCCCCTTATGGTATGAAATTAGCACATAACCCCCTTGATAGAAAAATGGAAAAGACTAAATTGCCCCTATCAAGTCAAAAATTCTTGTTTTAATTTAAAAATAATTATTCTATAAAATGAAAAGCTTAATGTATTTTTTTGTAAAATGAGAAATATAATATATTATTGTGTTTTTTCTATTTTACAGCACATATTTCTTTTTAAATTTAATTTTCATTTCAACTTTAGAGAAATATTTTTTTAGATTTTTCCAAAAGAATCAAAAGAATAAAGACTTTGTTTCTTAAAAAAATTAAAGTTTGATAATAGCTATAATATAATACATTATATAGCAAATAGTAATATAATAATCATAATTAATGACAATGTTAAAGATTTTAAAATCGAATAAATTGTCAATCGTACAATAATTAGTAAAATTAAAGAAAAAAGCACAATAATATATTATATTTCTCATTTTACAAAAAAGTACAATAAGCTTTTCATTTTATAGAATAATTATTTTTAAATTAAAACAATTTTTTTTTGACTTGATAGGGGTAATTTAGTCTTTTCAGTTTTCTATTCAAGGGGGGTTATGTACTAATTTCATACCATAAGGGGGTTATGTGCAAAATTTCAATCGAACAAAATTAACATATAAATTGAAAAACATAAAATAACAATCGAACAAATTATCGATATCCAAGTTATCAAGTCAAAAACATAACTGAATAATGGATTTGCACCGTGAAAGAATAACAGCAAAATGGATGTTATTGATAAATCAATGTCTAACTCCATAACTTTGAGAGAACAATAGCCTGAAAAATGGTTGTGTCCGATTTGTGTGCACATATATATAATATAGTTCAATATTGTGCAACATCTTCGATACATGAGATTTCAATATGTAGAAGACAGGAGTCGTTGACAATGAATCCTTTTTTCGGATCATTCATAGTTGCAATCTCCATGAATGTAGGCCATCCCCAATTAGGGCTGGTAGATGTAAACCAGTGATTAGTAGCTGCAAGACAAAGAATGTAGTATTCAGGAGAGAGATTCTAGAAACACTAATTATATAAAATTCCTCGTTATATGGACGAATGTTTTAAGAAGCACAAATAGACAATTAACGAAATAACGAAGAGGAGTTAGCGAATATATATTTATTGGAAAAATTACAGTTTTCACCCCTCAAATTGAACCACCAATAGAAAAATGGTTATTTACTACGACCATTCAACACTTTCAATTTTTCGCTAGTACTAACGGAATTAATCATGCACACGCCACTGCCTTAACTTTTCGGACTAACAGTAATTTGACGAAAATGACCACAAGTGTTAAATTATTGAAACTTGAGGGACCAAATGTGTTTTTTGTGAACACGATGGACCAAATGTGAAATCGGTACAAACTTGAAGGATGAAAACTGTAATTTTACCTATATTTATTATATCCTACAAAAGCATCGATGAAAAAATAGGCCTCAAATATTTGATCTATAACTTACTAGTTTGTTTCTCGTGTTCGGAATCGTTGAGTTGATCTTTTATGCATATGGTGAAAGATGCCTTGACAATTTCAGAACCAACATTGTGAAGAAAGATGGCAACATGTTTTCGCCCATTTGCTTTAGGGTTGAGACGAATCTTCCTATAAATTTATCAACAAATTAAATAATTATGTCATAATTAACAAATCAAATATATATATATATATATATATATATATATATATATATATATATATATATATATATATATATATATATATATATATATATGAGCCAAAGAATTTGTAATACTACAAATTTGTACCATTTGTGGCCTCCGGCACTGAATTCGTTAGATTCCCAAACATCTTCCAATTTGGAGAAGTTTGAAATCAACCAATCGCGTTTGTAAGGAATGTCAAAATTCTTCAAACAAAGATATTCAATTACCGCTTCTCTTTTTATGACGAAAACCTCAGCACCAAACACACAGCTGTCGCGGAATAGATACCCGTTTGATGGATCCGACATTATTTTCTTAGAAATAAAATTAGGAAAGCCCCACTCTGATTTCACTCCTTGGAAACGTCTTGTTCTCCCTTTTCCCATGTGACGACTTTTAAATTAGTATTGTTCGTCGTATAAAACACTACTTCGCAAATTTAAATAAACTAATTCATTTATAGGACTAAAACTATATAGACATGCATCAAATATAAGAAAAAAATAATTTCGATAAAAAAAAATATAAGAAAAATAATACCTAGTGAAGAAAGATAATTGCCCGAATTGTGATTCAAGAGAAATATGCTAAAGACCGCGTTGACCTCCCAATTTGCAGGCAGTGAACTTGTGTCCACCATAGCCAAATATACAGAAATATATTCTTTTCCAACAATATTGTCGTCTCCATTAGGATAAATTATTAGTCTCCTGTACAAGTTCAAGCATCGTTGAATTACTTATTTATTTGATAATATAATAGTTCCACATTTCTTCTATATAAGATGGACAACTACATTCTTTTGGCTGACATTAAGAGAATTACGTAAGGGAAAATTACAGTTTTCATCCATCAAGTTTACACCAATTTCACATTTGGTCCCTAATGTTTACAAAAAAAAAAACATATTTGGTCCCTCATATTTCGATAATTAAGGCAGTGATGGACACACATTTAATTTCATTAGTACTAACGGAAAATTAACGGAAAAGACTAAACGTGTTTAATTTTTGAAACATAAGGGACCAAATGTATATTTTGTGAACATAGGGTACCAAATGTGAAATCGGTGCAAACTTGAGAGATGAAAATTGTAGTTTTCCCGAATATGTAAGCTTTAAATATGAAAATAATGAAATAATAAATAAATAAATCCATCAAAGGCTTTAAATTTTAATAAAGAATATGCATGTATACCACTTGTATTCACCAGCAGCAAATTCTTTAGTCTCGTATTTGTGAATCCCACACTTGTAGAATGATTCAATTTTGATCAAAAAATTTGCAGGTGAAGCCTCTCTTGTTTCCGTTGGCAATTCTGATAGCAACATAAAGAAATTAGAATTTATACATACATATAGATGTTTGTATGTAGATAATATAATATTACCAAAAAGAAAAACAAATAAACAAATGTTTTGTGAGACTTCATATACCATCCGCTGCTTCAGTCACAGACATAGTTGTTCCTTCTTCAACAAATTGCTTGTCTCGTGTAATCGCTATTGTCAGAAAATATTATATTATAGAACTCTTGTAATATTAGGATTCTAGTAGGATTCGGTTACCTAGATTAGTTAGGATTTAGTTACCTAATCAAACTCTATTACCTTGCAATATTTCTCTATATATATTCCATGTAATCAACTCATAACATAATGGGGGTTTCTATTATATTACGTATTATTATTTCTCTCTTTCTCCTATTCTATTCTTCCTATATGGTATCAGAGCACCAGGTTTATCGCCTTTCTTCTTCATGGCGGTGACCACCCAATCTTCTCCCTCCCCCAGTGGTGGTACTCTAATATTTATCTTTTTCTTTTCTATCTTCTATGAACACCACCCGAATTTTCTCCCACCCCGGTGGTGCATCTTCTCTATCTCTTTTTTCTTCTTCTTCATCTTTTCTTCTCCATGGTCTACAACCTAGCCGCCGCCTCTTCTCTTCTCCATGGCCGGCGAATACCACCCAATCTTCTTCTAATCAAACAAATTACTAAACAATTAACGGGGGCGTGTTAGAGAATATTATATTATAGAACTCTTGTAATATTAGGATTCTAGTATGATTCGGTTACCTAGATTAGTTAGGATTTAGTTACCTAGTCAAACTCTATTACCTTGCAATATTTCTCTATATACATTCCATGACATAATGGGGGTTTCTATTATATTACGTATTATTATTTCTCTCTTTCTCCTATTCTATTCTTCCTATACCTATAATGGGAGTTTTGCTTACTATCTATAAAATTCGTGCATAAGGCTTTCTCACTTCCCAAGAACGGCTTTCTCACTTCCAAGGAAGTTAGTGGTAAGGGATACAACAAGCTATGTAGCGCACACACGGAAATTGTGATAAGGGAAAACGAGGAAACGGATACGGCAACACGGTATTTCCGAAAAATGTGAATATGGTCATATGGGAGTTTGGGGAAAACATGTAAATATCAAAATTATAAGTTATATTTAGGGCTAAATACAGTTTGTACCTTGTACCATCACCACTGTCGCATTTATCCCCTGTACTATGAATTGCGACAAAACACCCCCTCACCTTAACAGTCAACTCTCACATATCTAACGGTGTTAGTTTCTGCTGTGTAATTATATTTTTACCCTTTCTTTTATTTGATAGAAGTAGCCATTTTTAGACTTTGTAAATTTGGAGAAAAATGTCAAACACGTTCAACAAAACAGAAGGGAGAAAATTTCCCCTCTTCACCTGTTATTCATCTTCTCCCTTTCGATTCAACATCTCATAGACGTCTTTAAAGCAATTTGAAGAGAACTTGGTGTAAACAAATGTAAGTTCTGAAATTTTTGCTTAATTTAGGGTTGGGATTTTTGGGGGGTTTTATGCCACGCAAAATTTGGATTTAGATTTTCAAGGATTAGGTTACAACCCTAATTTCACAAAATTATCAATACTAAATTTACGGTTTTGGATTAGTATTTACAATACAAGCTCTATTTTGTATTTAAAGTTTTGGATTTGGGGATTTTGGGGTTTACGAGTGAAGGATTTTGGGGGTTTTGGGATTTTTCGAAATTCAGTTTTGGGAATCTATTTGAAAAGGGTTTTGAAGAGATGGTTTCTCTACTAAGTAGAATTTGGGGATTTTCGGGTTTAGGGGTTTTCAAAATTTTGGGAATTTTGGAAATTTTAGCTACTGTAATTCACCTATTTTCATGTTTTTATGTAGGTTAAGAAGCCAGATACGCTTTTTACCTTTAGAGTTAATCATGGAGGGGGTTTTGAAAGTTATTTTGATTATGTTGGGGGAATAGTTTCAGTTGTGCCGAATATTGATCCCGATCTAATGTCGTATTTTGAGCTGCTAGATATGGTTAAAGAACTTGGATTCTAATTGTCTTCTTGTAGTTGGATGCTCCATGTTCTAATATTTTTAGTTTTTTTTTCCATGCCTTGCATCTTCATCATCATTTCAGTGTTGGTTCTGGTCAAATTGAGAGCTACCTCATGGAGTTTCTCTTTGTTCAACTTCAGTGTTTCATTGACAGCCTCTAGCATATTGATTTTCTCTTTTTTTTTTTTTTATCAAAAAATCTTTTAAATCCTTGCCCAATCTCCAGCCCCTTTTCACATATTTCAGGCTCAATCCATTGTACAAACTTGCATCCGTTGGGCTTCTATTTTCATACATGAGCGAATAAGTAAATGTTAGGTACAAACTAAAAATAAATTTTGCACTATAACATGAAGAACTTACATCGCAATTAGCACATCCTGCAAATTTCCGACACGAATTATCGACAGTCCGAGATGTTCATACTGCGGCGCTCCGATTGCATCGAGAAGTGGTTCCTGAAAAATATGACATGTAGTGTTTGGACCTAAAACACGAATTTTGAGAATTTGAACTAACGGAAGACATTTTTAAACCGATTAATTATGAATTTAAAAAAATTAAAAATAATTTCTATAATATAATTTTTTTTTCCAGAAAATTTGGGTTAAAAAAAGGGCTGAAAGTGAAAATTAGGAAGAAATTGGGAAGGAATTGAGTACAAATGAGTGAAGAATGATGCACCCCTTTTATAGACAATTAGAGGGGTGTTTTGGTCAGAATTTTTCCAATGGCTACTTCAATAGTCAGTCAACATTTGAAAGGGACGGCTTTTGTAACGGAGATGGACGGCAGGGGGTGTTTTGTCGCATTTCATAGTAAAGGGGGTAAATGCGACAATGGTAATAGTACAGGGGTGCAAACTGTATTTAGCCCTTATATTTATAAATATCCTATATGAACATCTATAAGTTTTTATTTCTATAAATTCTTTTTATATATTTTCATAAAAAGTTTCAAATTAAATTTTACTATCAACGATCGATTTGCAATTGATCATTAAATTGTATAAACAATTAGGAAATACTATTCAAGCATGCTTTTAACCTTTTAGAAATTGCAAATGGCCCCACAAGTCCGGCTGGTACCTTCGAGTGTTCGACACAGAACGTGTCTGAAATACGAAAACATTAAGAAGTTGAAGTTTCCGTACTACATATGATACAAGTATACATATACTAAATAAACCAAGATAATAGCTCATGGTTTCACAATCGCGGACTGTTATGCGAAATAGTTTGGCAAACTATAATCCAAGAGAAAAAAAAAAACATCATCATATATTCAATCTGCATATACACTTTATATAACCTTTTTTAATCATATAAAACCAGTCATTGTTCCTAGGCTTGCATCCCTTATTCACCAATTACCACCGTCATGTACAAGTGATCAGAATAAACTTTCTGTGTAGACATGCATTTCACGAGCACGATCGTAGAGAAGAAAGAGAGGGCGGCGGCGGTAAGAGAAAAGAAAGGGGAGGGACCGTCTGTTGAGAAAAAAAAAACAAACAGATGCCGCAGAGGGAGATAGTGAGGAAGGAGAGTGAGAGAAAATAGACGATAAAATGGGATAACAGTGTTAAATCATTTGGACCAAGGATATTGTAGTGACAATGCATTATTTAAAGGGGCAAATTATTACGGCCAACCCCCTGAGTTATGGTCAAATTACAAAACCTCTCTCTTTTTGGGTAATTACAGTCACCTTTAAATGTACGAATAAACCCCACCAGAGGTAAATTTAGGGATGTTAAATCAGTAAAATCGGACCGAAATTTCAGTACGCCAACATTTTATACCGTTTACCGAACTAAATATACGATTTGGTTCCGTAAATAACCGAATTACATAAATTTTATGTAAATATATTTATAAAGAGGGGTTGGCTGTAATTACCCAAACAAGAGGGATTTTTTTGTACCTCAAAGGGTGACCGTAATTTGCCCTTATTTAAATTAATTAAAATATTTTGGATTAATCTTAAAATTGGAAAAAATAAAAAAATTGGGCTCATCTTAATTGCACATGTGTAAAGAGACCCGTTTGTCAAATAACCCGTAAATTATTGGCATCATCAAAATGACATTTTCTTAAACAGCCACGAGGCTTAGTTGAACAGTACTACATGATAAGGAAAATCATCATTTCGCAAGGGCTTGGAGCGATATTTCTATATTTAGAAGACAAGAATCGTTCACAACGAGTCCTTTCTTGGGATCGTTAATAGTATCGAGCTCAATGAATGTAGGCCATCCCCATGCTGGTTGGGAAGAATACCAGCTAGTACCGCCGGAAAACCAGTTAGTACCTGCAAAGACAAAAATGTAGTGTATTTATGAGAGAGAGAGAGAGAGAGAGAGATTGCTGCATTCCTATCTTAAATTGTTTCCTTATATTTGCTTTCAATTTAGGGATGGAAAAAATACAGTTTTCATCCCTCAAGTTTGCACCGATTTCATATTTAGTCCTCCATGTTTATAGAAAACACATTTCCGTCAATTTTCCGTTAGTACTAACAGAATCAAAGCTTATGCCAATGAATGCCTTAACAGACGAACTAACAGTAAATTGACGAAAATGACCGAAAGTGTTAAATTATTGAACCATAAAGGACCAAATGTGAAATCGGTGCTGACTAATTGACATTGACAACATTACTTAATCTGCAACTCCTAGAATATATCTTTGATGTTGTGGACTTACCAGTTCGTTTCTTTGGTTCATCATTAACCTGGTTTTTGATACATATGGTATAACACGCTTCCACTCTTTCAGAACCGAGATAGTACAAAAAGATGGAGACATGGCTGCCAGTTCCTTCTCCGTTTCCTCTCGGGTCAAGACTAATCTTCCTAATATTTATCACCGAGTTAAAAATTATGTCAAAGTACTAAACTGATTAGGCTTATACACGCTTATAGTGTTAAAACTAAAAAAAGAATTATACCATTTGTGGTCGTCAACAAAGAATTCTTCAGATTGCCAAACATCCCCCAGTTGAGAGAAATTTGAAATCGTCCAATCACGCTTGTATGGAATAACGTCTTTCTTCAATGACAGATATTCGGTGACCGCTTCTCTTTTGATGACAAAAACCTCAGCACCAAACACACATGTATCGTTAATGAGGTACCCGTTTGATTGGTCCAAGAGAATCTTCTTAGAGATAAAGTTGGACAAGCCCCATTGGGACTTCATTCCTAGGAAACTTCTTCTTACTCCTGTCCAAAGGAATATTAAGTACTATATGACTAATATGCATTGTGGCAAAGAAGATCATAAGGGAGAGTAAAAAATATACCTAGTGACGAAAGATAATTTCCCGAGATCTGATTAAAGAGAGAGATGCTGAAGAGAGCATTGACCTCCCAATTTGCAGGCAAAGAACTTGTGTCCGCCATAGCCAAGTTTACAGATACATACTCACAATCTTTGTCGTTGTCGTCGCCATTAGGATTGATTATTAGTCTCCTGTACAAGTTCAAAAATTGTTCACTACAAACTTTTTTAGGGCAAATTGCACATCAACCCCTGTAAAATTCTAATTTTCGCACTTTACTCCCTCAAAATTTTTAAAGGTGAATGTCTCCGATCCCTTCAAAATTTTATTCTTGATGCGCATTGCCCTAATAGCAAAACTCCGATGGATTATTCAGAATTGAGTATTTTTGTTGCACGTTGTCCCTTTAAATATTTTTTTTTTTGTTACACGGTGCTCCTTAAACACACTACTTCTTTGCACGTTACCCCTTCAAAATGTGTACAATGCCCTCTAAATGTTGGCTTCTGAGAGATAAATTACAACCAAAATATTATTTCAAAAGGTAGTATCCCTTTTTTTAAATTTCTAAGGAGGAAAGTACAAAAATAGATAATTAATAGGTGGTGATGTGCATTTTGTCTATTTTCTTTTATCGTTCAAAAATTAAACAAGTTATTTAAATTAACCAAAAAGGGAAGAACATACATACCAATCGTATCCTCCAGCAGCAAATTTTTTGGTCTCGTAGCTGTCGAGCAAGGAGAAGGATTCAATCTTGATTAAAAAATGTGCAGGTGGTATTTCTCTTGTTTCCATGGTGCAACCGACTTGTAAAATAAATTATTGATTCTTCGACTTAGTTGATTTAAAGAAGAAAAAGAAAAACAAAAAGAAAACAAAAGAAAAATGAAAAGACAAATAAACTTTGATTACATTCATTGGAAACTAAAGTTGATAAGGCTTTCTCAGTTCCCAAGAGTGCTATTATATTAGATTCATGGAAGTTCTATGGTTACTCATCGATACAACATATATGTATTAATTACTTTTGTTGTTTTAATAGAAAAATAAAATAAGAATTTGTATGGCCAACGTATCAAACAACCGCTGAACTTTAAAATTTTGCTAAGGTAAATGATTATAAGTTATAACTAGGGCTGAAAGTCGGAAGGATCGGATCGGAATTAGCCTTTTCGGAATATTTCCAAAAAATTTCGGAAGTACAAAATCAATTCCAATTCCAATTCCAAAATTTTCGGAATCTAAAAATTCATTCCAATTCCAAAAGGCCTGGAAATTTCGGAATTTCGGAAATTTTTCGGAAATGACATAAGTATTAAAATTTCGAAACTTCGCTGAAAATTTCATAATTTGCTAAAAATAAAAACATCCACGTCGATAAAAATAACTACTAAATTTCAATTCAAAAAATAAATAAAAATAAACCACATCATAATATCCAATAAAACTTCTAGCAAAAATTAAATAAACTCTTTGGCTTTGTTCAAGAAATAATAAACGTAAAACTAGGGTTTTACATAAAATAAACTAGGGCTTTTTTAGGTGACATGGCCCATAAAGAATAAATACAACGAAATAATGTAAAATAAGTATATATATATATATATATATATATATATATATATATATATATATATATATATATATATATATTACTCAAAGATGTATTTTTTGGAAAAAAATCAGTTTTTTTTCGGAAAAAAATCGGAATTTTTTCGGAATTAATTTCGGAAATAATCGGATCGGAAATCGGAAAATTCCAATTTTTTTTTATATAATCGGATCGGAAATCGGAAATTCCAATTTTTTTTTATATAATTCCAATTCCAATCCAAAAAAATCGGAAAAAATCGGAAATCGGAATTTCGGAAATCGGAATGAAAAAAGTTGTTCCAAAATCGGAACTTTTCGGATGGGAACCGGCGGAAATCGGAATTTCTGTTCCAACTTGCACCCCTAGTTATAACAAATACTTTTTTTGTTACGGTAAATTCTAGCATTTACTACGACTCCAATATAGTTCCGTAGTAAAAAGTATCTTTTGTTACGATTTTATATCGTGGCAAAAAAATAGTTGTATATATACATATTTATATCTATGGATATATATTTATATATATATATATAAATATTTATTTATATCTAAATATTTATATATCTGAATAACACACACACACACATATATATATATATATATATATATATATATATATATATATATATATATATATATATATATATATATATATATTTATATCAAAACCACGGTGGACCAGTTTTGGGGCGGAGAGTGAAGAGAGAATAAATTAGGCATCGTCAAAATAAAAATTTCTTAAACAACCATAGCGCTTGGTTTAAAATTGCATGATAAGGGAGAGGCGGACCCCGAAACATTTCATAGGGGGGCCGTGGATTACCAAAAAATTTACAGGTGTTCAGGGGCAGTGCCCCCAGAATTTGTTTTTGGACAAAATGCACTTCACCTCTATAAATTTCTCATTTTAGCATTCCCCCCTACAAATTAAAAAAATGAGATAACACCCGCTCGAAATGTTATTTTGGTTGCATCTGCTCCAAAAGTAAATTTTCGTTGGGCATTGTGCAATAAAAATAATATTTTTAAGGGGCAACATGCAGAAAATTAATATTTCTAAGGGACAACCTGTAACAAAAACACTCGATTCTATTGAACAGTTGTTGGAAATGGGCCCAAATGAGTTTTATACTCTGGGCCCAATTCTCAAACCATCTTGCAGCCCATCCTCCATGGAGTAAGCCCATCACTTAAAAGCCCAGTCAAATGTGAGCTTCTTTAATCTAGACCATTGATTTGGTAGATTAATCTTGACCGTTGATAGAAGGTATAAAAAGGGGCTGCAATTGCTTTCTTTCTCCAGCAGATTTTTTTCCCCAACCCTAGCCGCTGCTATTTCTTTCTCTCTCTTCTGTTCCGATTTCCTCGTCGGAAATCAAGATCGAATCTCCGGTTTTTCCCTCCGGATTTCTAGTAAGTCGTGGCTTTATAGTCTGCTTCTTTTTTTGTGAGAGTGGTACGTGAGAAATTGAGCTGATATCTGTCCAAATAATTCGTGTGGTTTTCTCTCAAACCTTCTACCTTGCTTTGTGATCTGGGTTGTGGGTCTATCCTGTGTGAACGAGAGGTTTTTGGGTCAGATCTGTTTTTCCTTCGTGAGTTGGGTGGTTCGATTGGGTAAAAGGGAATTCTTGCTGGAGAACGTGGCTAAGTGAAACGAGGGCTTTATTCCGGTGGATGTTCGGAGGCAGCCAAGTGGGTCTTGGACGTGGACTATCGGGAATTCGAGGACTGAGCCGGAACGAGTCTCCATCTTCACTGATTTGTTTATCAAATCAGTCCGGTTAGATTTATTCTTCGTTATAATATTCTGTAATTTTTAAATTCATTAGAAAATCTTTATTCCCTAAACCCCATTCCCATGGGTATTTATTTGTTATTGAATAATTATTATTTGGTCTGTAATTATTCTAGAGTTCAACGGGTACCCAACAGTGGTATCAGAGCATTAAATTGTTGTACCCGTTGAACTGGCGTACAAAACCCTACCATGGGTTTTGCTCAGGTATTGTATTCTGAACCCCCTATGGTTGGTTTTAATTTTCCTGTTTATTTTTGGGTTGCGTTTCTGGATCTGTGTGTCCAGTTTTATTAATTGCTGGATCTGTGTGTCCATTAATTGTTGGATCTGTGTGTCCATTAAGTGCTGGATCTATGTGTCCATTTGTGTTAATTTAGCTGAATCTGTGATTCAATCTGTGTGTGCTAAATTCTCGTTTATTTATTCCGCTGCTTACTTGAATTGTCTTCACGATACCAAATCTAGATTTATTTTTCGATTTAGTTTAACCTCTCTCTCTACACAAAAACCCAGCTTGCGGGAACCGCTAGTGCTTCCTGATCTGGTTGGGGTAGTTGAGGGAGGACTGCTAGGTTTTTGTCACTTGCTTTACGTTAACTTTGGTATCGTTTATTTGCGCAATCGTAATTTGTTATCCTGCTGTGTGTTCTGGATAATGGCTTCTATGACTGCTTATTCTGTGGCTCCTTTTGATGGAAAAGGTGATTTTTCAATCTGGCAACAAAAAATGAAAAGTATTTTAATTCAACAAAAATGCTTTAAAGCTATTTCTTTAGAAGATGTTTTTATGGCTAATGCCAGACGTGAAAAATTTGATGAACTTGCTTATGCCTCTATTATTCTGAATTTGAGTGATTCTGTGATTAGAAAAGTAGGAAAGCATGAATCTGCTAGAGAACTATGGGATAAGTTGGAGGAACTTTATACTGAAACTTCCTTGCCCTCAAAATTGTTTTTGCTCGAAAATTTTTTCAGATTTAAACTTGACTTGAACAAAGAGATTGATGTCAACATCGACCAATTTACAAAACTTGTTCAAGATATTAAACTGACTGGAGATAAAAATATCGATGATTATACTCCAATTGTTCTTTTAAATGCCATACCTGAGTCTTACAATGATTTAAAATCTGCCATTAAATATGGTAGGGACTCTGTGACTCTTGATGTAGTTATAAATGCTTTGAAAAGTAAGGAGTTGGATTTAAAAGTGAACAAGAGCAATAAATCTTTTGGTGAGGTGAACTTTGTGAAAGGGAAGCAACAAAACGTTTTCAAAACAAAAACCCGGCTTTCAATCAAAATGCTCAAAGTTCTTCAAATTTTCAAAACAAGAAAAAGGGCAAGTGGAATGGAAAGTATAATGTGAAACCAAATACTCCTAGGAAGTGTTATAATTGTGGTGATCCAAACCATTTTTCTAATGTGTGCCCTAAACCTAGGAGAGATCAGAAAATTGCTAATGTGAATCAAGTTTCTGATAATATGGGTGATGTTTTTATGCTAAGTGGTATGCATGCTTCTGTGAATTCTGTGTTAGCCTCTCTTAGTGAGAATGAATGGCTTCTTGATTCTGCATGTTCATATCATATGACTCCACGTAGGGAAGTTTTTTCTGACTATATGCAAATGAAAAACTGTGGTGTTACTTTAGCTGATGGCACTAGGATAGTTGTGAATGGTATTGGAACTGTATGCTTAAAATTTGATTCGGGCTATGTGTTAACCTTGAAAAACGTGAGGCATGTTCCTACCCTAAGTCATAATTTGATTTCGTGTGCTGTACTTGAAGATGATGGTTTTCGTGGGGATTGGGGAGATGGTTGCATGAATATTATGAAGGGTAGCCGTTATTTGTTTAAGGCTTTGAGAATGGGTAATATGTATGTTTGTTTTGCTGAATCTTCTGCATCTGTGAATGTTGTCCAAAATGATTTATCTGAATTATGGCATAAATGGCTAGGTCACATGAGTAATAAAGGGCTTAGTATATTGCATAAAAATCAGTATTTTGGAAATGATAAAGTGTCTTCTGTGACTCTATGTGATTCATGCATTTTAGGTAAACAAACGCATGTTTCTTTTCCTGAAAATCCTTCTCCCAATCCATCTAGATGCACGGAAATCCTAGAATATATTCATGCTGATGTGTGGGGCCCCGCCAGTGTTCATACACATGGTGGGAACCGTTATTTTCTGTCTATTATTGATGATTATTCTCGTAAAGTGTTTGTTTTCCTGTTAAAGCAAAAATCGGATGTTTTTGATAAATTTAAAACGTGGAAAACGCTGATTGAAAATCAAACAGGTAAACGGATAAAAACACTTAGGACATATAACGGTACTGAGTTTTGCAACCTAGAATTCGATAATCTGTGTGCTGAATCAGGAATTAGGAGG